GCAGGTTGTGTTTGAGGACTTCCTGTCATGCTGCCATGTCACTCAGCTTGTGACACTTTTAAACAAAGCCCCTGTTGAGCAGGTCGCCAGAGCTAGTACAGTTCAGCTAGAAAACAGTTACAGTTTCCTCTGAGCTAAGTCTTATCTCAGCCCATCCATTAGTTGTTTTCCTTTTTCATGCTATTAATCATCAAAAAGAAAATAGACAGTTGTTACAAAGAACACTCTAAAGTGGAACCAGAATCAGCTGGCAGTAAAACCCCAACGTGAAGTTCTTCACCGGCCTGTTAGAGCTGAAACATGACAGTGGTTTGTCAGCGGTGAAGCAGACATGAAAACCAGACCGTGAGAGGATGATTACCACTGAAGTCAGGCCCAGCTGTGCTGCGGCCAGAGGAAGGTTCTGGACACTCAGTGAAAATCAAACAGACAAAGAGAGAAAGTGGAGGAGACATTCCAGCCGCTAACAGGCTAATGTCTTCCATCCACAGGAAAACGCTCTGGCCAGCAGCAGACAAAGATCCTGTCTTCCGTCCAAACAGATAGAAACTCTGAGACACCTTGAGCCAAAACCACAACATGTCGGTGGATTATCAGCTCGGCTAACACGATCACAGAACTGTGATCAAACTCACAGACACTCTGAGAAACAAACACAAACACTGCCCACATTGGTGTTCACTTCATCTGAAAAACATCTGATTAGTTAGTTCTGCTTCCTGTCATTCAGTGACAGAACAAAAAGCAAACAAAAGATAGGAAGGGAAAGGACGAGGAGAGGAAGGCATACAAAGGAGACAGGGAGGAAAGATACAGCAGAAGAAATAAAGAGGGACAGAGGGTTAGAAAGAAGAAAAGCAGACAGAAGGTCTCTCATCTTAAATCGTATATTTATTAGACAGTCTGCCATCGCTACCTGGGACCTGGGTGAAGGTGCTCAGTCAAGTCCAGCTGTTAGAAATGTGGATACACCATGGTCTGCATGGAAACACTGAACTACCTTAGAACAAACAGCACACACTAAAGTCCCCACAGAAAGCCAGAGGAGTACATGGTCCTCAGGTCACGTCCTCCGACCTCGCCAGCCTGGGCCCACCCTGATGATGCTTTCCGTTCTTGTTTGCAGGCGCATGTTCCACGTTGGATCGGTCAGTTGTGCTGTCAGCAACATGTGGATGTCCCCCTGATTTCTCAGACTCTGGGCCAGGTGCATCTTTCTGTCAGCCTGCGTTTCCTGATCGTGCAGCTGCTCAGTGAACACACCGACACCACTCAGCCCAGCTCTCCTGTCTCTGATACTTCTCTACTTTACCTGTATTTGACCAGAAAGTCCCATTCAGATCAGAAACTATGTTACAACAACTAGTTTCAGGAATTAACTGGCATTTGAGTGTTTACTCCTTACTTTATGTCGTCAATACATGCATATAAATATAATGAATGAAATTTGGCTCTGGTGTTCTTCTTCAGAACAAAGACCAGCTGACAGCAGCATCTGAGGCTCGAGTGATGTCAATGTTTTGATGGTTGTGGTGGCCCATCAGCCCCATCCCGCCTCACAATCGTCATGCTTCATTAGGCGGCATGAAAAGCTGAAAATCATTGGCAGAGTTTGGACCATACTGAGCAGATGCAGAACAGTTTGTCTCAGACCTTGTGTGTGTTGTTTCTTTGTAGCAGGCTTCAGGTTGGATCTGCTGATGTTCACTCTGTCCAACCTGCCCCTGCTCTCTGCGGCCGCGTGACGGACATGTCTAAACCAAACTTCATAATAAGAGATGATCCAGTTTTATCTCCAGAAAATCTTCTGTCAAACCCTTGGACCCAGCTCCCAGCTCTGAAGTCATGCAGAAGATATTTGGCAGTTTTTTCTTTAATCTCAAACACGTTTTCTTCTTATATTTCAGCACAAAATGATCATAAATCTACATGTTCTCCTTGCTTTCCCTTTGGACACAGCTTCACTTCTGATGGAGGATTTCTCCTCTCATTTGATCAGAATGGAATATTTGACCTATGGCATTGATTTCTCTGTCTGACTGATGAGTTGACACAGTGAAGCCTGATTTACATTTGAAGAATGTCAGTGATCATACAGTTCACAGTTCATTCTGCACCACTGTTTCTTAAAGAGCAACAATCTGAGTCAGTAAATTCCATGTCACTTTGTTACACTATCTACTGATCCCATTGTGTAGTGTTTATTGCAGCGCAAGGTATTTTCCCTTTTTCCACCCTAAACCAGGAGTTTGGCTGTCATCTTTGCTATGATCATTTATTACTAAAGTTTTGGAAAGTAGCCCGGCATCTGATGTTAGAGTACTCACAGGTTTGTCTTGGGAAGACGGAAGTAAAGGGGTACAAGTATAGAAAGAACAGTGAGAATCCACCGCCTGCCACAGCTACACGCAAAGTACTGGGTATCTACTCATGCATGTTGCTACATGTACTGTCATGTAATTGTTGCTTTCAAGTAATATTTAATGTTTTATCCAGATGTGAATTTTAATGTTTTTATCCATCTGTGTGCACTGTGTTCAGCACATTGAATTGCTGCTGTGTATGAAAATGTGCTATATGAATAAATTTGCCTTGCACCCCAAAAAACGGATGTAGGCTATAATCCCATGACTCACAGGAATGAACACTGAACCTCGTATTAATTTTTCAAAACCTCCTAGGGCAGAGACACACCAAGCCGACATGAAAGAACTAATGGCGATGAAGGCCGACTGCTGCATCACTTGACGTTGGCAACAGTCTGGGCCAATCAGGTCAAAAAGTGGCACCGGAACATGCTGCACAGGCCACAGTCAAAGTCAACTAGCATGCATGAGAGGAAATAACTCTCTCTACCACCAGGTGACAGTATCTGTATTTGACATTCAAAAAGGGAAAGTGGGAGACTGGGGGCTGCCGATACTGTGTAACAGTAAACACAGTAGCATTTGGTTCTCATTTTCACACAACTCACGCTCAGCACACACAGTTTAGTGCTACCTCAAATTGTTAAGAAGTTGCAAATGACACCAGTGTTGTCAGCCCTTGAGCTTGCACTTGAACAGGCGGAGGTGAGAAATAAGAAGAAACCACACTAAATAGGTGAAATCATGGATACAACAGCGACAGGCTCAAGGGGCTTTCCCAAACCTGTGTCGAGAGCTGGAGATAAATGAAACCTCTGATTTTAAAAATTTCGGCCACATCGTTGTGAGCATTTCTCGTACTGGAATATTCAGATGAAATGAACATAAACAACACGAGAAGGGCCCTCCATGTAGGCCCTCTTGACTCAGTGTTCTCTCTCACCGATGGCCGACCATCAGCTTGGTGTCTCTCTGCTGAACGTTTGCAAACCTGTGTCACCCTACACTCTGGTAGAAGAAAGAAGCAACAAGAGAAACTGCTAATGATGTGCCCTGTGTTCACAATGTTAAGTGTTACAGGTTTCTGTCTTCAAACCACAGCTGGAGCTTGATTACAAAGTGACTGAACCGAAGCTCTGGTCCTCTGTGATAATTAACAGGAATACCAATATTATCAGGGCACAGGCAGTACGTACTTCATGCATGGGCAGATGAAAACATGAGAAAGAGACACCAGTGGCCGAGTGCACACAAACAGTGAATGAAGCTGGTTTGAGTTGTGTCTGTACGGCCAGGGTCTCCCGGAGCAGCCGGTGTGTACCAACAGGATGACCCGGTGATGGGCAGCTATCACTGGACAGATCTGCATGTGTAGGGCCAGTAACTGGTGTCAGGACCGTTTGGAACACACATACTAGTTCTGACTTTGTTTTCATGTTTGCTATTTCCCACTGTCTGTATTTAACAAGAGAAAACTCAGTAGGATGGTTAACGTGTGCAGGAAGCAGCCCAGTGTGATCTGCTCTGTGAGTCCTGCGACGAGGGTTCACCTTCCAGGCCTACCTGTGCTCAGTGCACACAGTTGTGCCAGCTGCTTGTCGCTGCACTACAATTCTGACTGCCGGTGCTGTTGTTGTGGGGCACTCTGCTGTCTGATGCCTGTCTTTAACTGGGATCTTTTGTCATTGTTTTACATTCGGCACATGTCTGTGCACTGAAACTGGTCCAAGGTGATGAGGAGCAGAAATGAGGTGTAGCAGAAACATGTTCACCTTTCATCATCTGTCATCCCAGCCCTGCATTACTTGTGGTCATTTCTGACTGACTGCTGACTGACATGATATGAAACATTGGTGGACGCTGCACGATTTTACAGGACACTCTGACGTAAGCCTGTGGTGGCGTCCAACTGAACCAAATGACTCATTCTGATATAGGCGCTGTGTCGTGTAAGCAGGCATAGGCAGATGCTCAATTTTTAATGATCTGGAGCCAAATGATGTGAGTGGGACATCAACCCTGCTGACTGAGATTCTAATGTAACACACAGGGGCTCTGCTTTATGGGCCCCCAGAGCCCGTTGGCCCCCGGCTCTGAGACCTGTATGTCTGCTCAGTAATGTAATCGTACAGGGCCTGAGTGAACCAGCAGCCCTGCCACTAACAGGTGACCCGCTTCACAAGGTTATGTTTTGCCACAGAGAGACTGAGGAGAACAATAGCATAAGAAGTAGGTTATTCATTGTGACTGTGTTCAAATGCAAAGGCAGCCTGCACCCATAAAGTTAACCTGTCGCTTGCTGACTGATGGACAGCTCCTTTACAAACAGACCCAATTGAGCCAGTGATGGTTGCTACAAAGCAGGAACACTGGCTTGGCTTTTTAATCACATATCAGCTAGAACATCCACAGACTGGGCCTTTAAAGCTGAAGAATGAAGCTATGAATGATTTACAGTATTTTGTCTGCTAGTCTGCAGACCCACCCACCCACCCCCCACACTCCGCTGTCAGAAAAATACCGTCA